TTTTGGTTACCAGCCGTAGCTCTTAACCACCACACCATCGAGGTTTCCATAAATAGAAAAAAATAAGGATAATATAGAAGAAGCCCTCACTAGTTTTTTAAAAGAAAAATTCAGTTAAGTGGGAAATCTTAAAAACTTACACATCTATACCTTAAACTTATTTTCATTTAAAAGTTAATGTTTTAATAATACAAATGTACACTGATGTGAGAATTTTCTTGACATAGGTACTATTAAAACAGGCTTTTTCTTTGTGTACATTTCTTACATGAGCCACTAGCATCACCAAGGCTCCTCAAAAGCATAACACCTTGTTGGTTTCTTTGAGGTAGAATGAGAATTTAGTGACACCTGTGAAATAATCTAAGTGCACAATCTTCCTCAAGAATATTTTCCCCAATCTTTCACAGCTGTCCTATCCATTCTTCGACAGAAGCTTTATTTTAGTATTTCGCCTTTATCAAAGCTTTCCAAAAACTTATATGAGTTTTCATAGAAACAATTACTTCTTTTGCACTTTTCAACTTATATTTCACTATTTAATATTTAAATTGAGTTAAAATGAAGACAACTGCATAAATAAGTTTGATAACAAACAACATATTCTGAGTAAACACATAACCAACGGGAGAAGTGAGGAGATACATTAAAGATAGCCCATGAGCCACAATTTTTCAGCTAGCTGTAATAAACAGTTTTACAATGATAACGAAGAGTGTCAATTAGTCCAACAAAATTTTTAGATGAAGATCAGTAAAAGAACTTTTATCATACATGCATTAAATGCTTCCAGTGTTAAAATAAACCATGTACTATACAACACTCTGAACAACAGTCCAACAGAACATGTTACAGAAGTCCCCTTAAAATGGTTATTCAACATACAAATATTTGTTTGCTCATATATGTTTCCCCTACTCCACTGAGGTCAATTATTTTATGGTTATGAAGTTCATAAGTCTTTACCAAAGGCAAAACCATCCAATAAACCCATAAAGAAATCTGAAAGCAGAAATTTGGTTCTATTGAATAAACATTCAATGAGCTTTTACCAAGTGCCAGGTACAATGCTAAGTGCTTGGGATACAGAAGACATGACAAAGATCTTGTCTCAAAGAAGGTCACAGTGTAAGTGGAAAAAATAAACATTAAAAAATCACAATAGAGAAATAAGAGCCGTCACTCGAATAGACATATGCACATAAATGTTCATGGCAGCATTGTTCACAATAGCGAAAAGATGGAAACCACCCAGATGCCCATCAACAGATGAATGGATAAACAAACTATGGTACATACACACAATGGAGTA